AAGTCCTGCCCACTCAGGTATATGATGAAAGGCATGTGCCTCCACATCTCTAAAGGCAGGGATCAAGAATACATACATGGAAAAGTGAAATCTACTAAATAAACTGTGCTAGGAAAACAATAATCTACAAGCAGAAGAATGAAAGTGAGCCTTTTCTTACACCATACTTATACCACAGAGCTTACACTCAGATAATGTTCCAAGAATGGTTCCTCTCTGTTATTGGAAGCTTTTTTTGGTTGAGGTTTCCAAACACTTTAAGGAGCTTATGCTGAGGTAGAAAGAAACCTCCCACTAATCTCTTCAGTGTGAATTATCCTTAGGGGTTTTCTTTTCCTTCTTCTGAAGTTTCCTTTTCTCTTGCCTCTTCTTCATCCAAACATCTTACTTCAGGTGAGACAAGTCATCAGCGGTCAATTCATCAGGAACCGCCTCTACTACCTCCTCACTGTTGTCCACGTCTATGTCCAGCTGAAAGTTAGGAGCCCACCATCTTAACCATAGCTTTGTTGATGTTTGCAACCTTCTTGTCTGTGGCAAACTCTTTGATGTAATGATCAAACCTCTTGAGTTTCTTTTTCCAGATGATTCACTGATTCACTCCTCAGAAACATTACCCGAGCCCTGCTGAGACCTTTCCAGAATAGCTTCAGTGTTTTATCATTGTTTTCCTCAGGTGCAAAACTAACCTGGGCAAATTTAACAGGCTTAAAAGCTGTTATTAATTAGTTCAACCTCCTCTCTGTCAGCACTTGCAGACTCACCTCTTGATTTCTTATTATACAATGAATAATAATTCTTTATCTTTTAAAACACCCAGAGCTAGCTTTAAGTTCAGCCTCAGATTCAGATTCAGATTTTCCTTTTAATATTTGAAGCATACCAGAACTGTCACATTTGTTAAAAGGGATATTCTTCTATGTCTGTTCTTTTTTATATGATAATTTTCTCCTTATCTATGATATAGGTAGGGTCCAGTGTTAAGATACTTGCAGGGTAGGGGAAATAGTAGCAGCCCTTAGGTGCAAAAGGGAACATTTTCATTTTCTGTTTGTCCTCTTAAATGAGATTTCCATGGAGATCCTGAGTGATTTTTTTTCCCTGGAAGAAAGTAGTTGTTGGCCCAAGTGGGAGCCTCTGATATAGGCCCATATGGATTTTTGTTGGTCTCATTACTTTCAATGGAGCAGATACCAGAACAGTATTCATATACTTTGTACTTTTTCAAGATGACAGTGATGGTGAGAGGAGAAATGCAATAATTATGATTGATTTCTACTTTTCCTAAGCTCTTAATCACTTTTATTTTGTTTCTGGTCAATCTCTCGATATGGTCACTTGCTTTCAACAATGCCAGCGAGTAGTGACTTTGCCTTGCATGTGGCTAACTTGGGTTTGATTCCCAGTATCCCATATGGTGCCCTGAGCACTGCCAAGAGCAATCCCTGAGTGTACAGCTTCTGAGCACCACCAGGTCTGAACCAAAACCAAAAGAAATCAAAGCAAAACAAACGAACCAAATAACTGAGAGGAGCACAGCAACCCATATGGGTCTTGTTGAGAAAACTCACTGGAGAATATAGCCATCCTCGACCTTCAAGATTATCAATCAGATCAGAGAGAATGATAAAAATTCGCAGACCAACCATAGCTGAAGACATTTATTTCATCTAAACTAGCTCTAAAGGCAGGGATTTTAGAATGCCTTTTCGTTAAAAAAATATAATAAACAGCAAAACAGCCAAAATCCTCACAGAAAAATTCCTTCTTATCAGTACTTTCTCTAAATTTCAATGGAATAAACTTTCCTATCAAAAGGCACAGAGTGGCTAGATGGATCAGAAAACAAACTCCAACCTTCATTTGCTTACAAGGCACACACCTGAATTTACACAATAAACAAAGACCAGAGCAAACCATAGAAAACAAGCATATTAGCTAACTATAGAATTTTTCTTTAAAAAAAAGCAGGCATATTTGTATCAGATTGAATAGCATTCAAGATAAAGAAAGTAATAAGACATAGGTTTGGACATTACACACTTACTGGTGAAGGGATCAATAGATCAAGGACTAAATTCTTTTTAAAAAATGAGTCACTGTGACATACACAGTTACAAAGCTGTTTATGAATGGGTTTCAGTCATATAATGTTCCAATATCCATCAAGAGGATGAAATTTTTAAATTTATATGTACTTTTAACACTTTATAGCTACCAAATAGTAAAGGGCATCTGCTAATAGAAACAAGGATATACATATAGATATCAACAAAAAGTAATAGGAGACTTCAACACCCCCTCATGTCATTGCCAGATTAACCAGACAAAACATAAGAAGGAAAACAAAATTCTTAATTTAGGAACCGGAACTATTGAAACTACCAAACATGGACAGGACCCTCCACCTCCAAGAAGCTGAATACACATTCTTCTGCAAGCCATTCTCCAGGTAAGAGGAGAATGCTCTTCTTTATCACAAGCTGAGTGTCCTTATAATCATTAAAATGAAAATCGTATCAAGTATATTTTCAGGCAAGAATGACATCAAGGTATACAAGATCAGTAACTCAAAGGAGTCAGTAGATCAGCTCCATCGGGAATAGAAATGACAGTCAGCACAAAAGATGCTTAAACTGAAGTCAAGAACACTAAAAAGGAAAAGTGATCTCAGGTGCATCAAGAGTCAAGTGCAAGAGGCTGGAGCAATAGCACAGTGGGTAGGGCATTTGCCTTGCACGCAGCCGACCTGGGTTCGATTCCCAGCATCTCATATGGTTCGATGCCCAGCACTTTCGGACCAATTCCTGAGTGCAGAGCCAGGAGTAATATCTGTGCATCGCCAGGTGTGATCCAAAAAGCAAAACAAAAAAAAGGGGGGGTCAAGTGCAAAGCAGAAAAGTATAGAATAAGCATGCAATGGTCCAAAAACAGTCACAGGTTGGTTTGACTAAAGCATGGGGGTGTCACAGAAAAATAACCCGAAGGGAAAAGTCTCAGCATGGTCTTACAGCCATGCTGAGACCACTCTCCACACATCCAGATAAGCCTCATGCATGAAGGAACCGGCAGAGGAACCCAGGCATGCGGGTCCCAGGGCTGAGATCTCCAAACCTGCTCGGATCAGGACTGGGCCTTCTCCACCCAGATCCCCCATCTTCCAGTAGGTAGGCGTTACACCCACCAGCTGCTGCCGGCACCAGGTGGTCCCATCAATGGCCAAGACCCAGCGACTATAAAACCCAGCTCCCAGAAGCAAGCAGCCGCATTTGCGGCCATGCGACATCTTATTATCTCATTTTTACTTTGGAGAACCTGGCAGGCTACCAAAAGTATCCTGCCTGCACGGCAGAGTCTGGCAAACTTCCCGTGTCATACTCAATATGCCAAATACCAGTAACAATGATAGGTCTCATTCTCCTAGCCCTGAAAGAACACTGAATATGGCTCTTTTAAAATCTCAGGGCTAGGAAGAAGGAGACGTTACTGGTGCCTGCTCGAGGCAATCGATGAACAACAGGATAATGATGATCGTGATCGTGGGAAAAGTCTAGGAAGAACATAGGGAAAAGGTCAGGGTAGGAAAAGAAGCAGAAAATGTATCAGGGAACAGCTCAAACTTTAGGTTAGAGTTAGGCCTCAAACATTAGGCATGAAGGAATCTCTGGAAACGTAAAAAGAGTAAAAATTGATAAGATCTGATTTCAGAAAAACTGCTCTATGAGATACAGAATAGAATCAGGATAAAGGACAGATAATGGGAAAGGAAACTTAAAGGTTAAAGAAGACACTTAAAACTACAAGAACAATTAGGAAGCTAAATAGTTCAAGTCAAATATAGTGACACCGTGAATTAAAAAGCACCCACACCAGAGAGAGAGAACTTAGCAGAGAGCTAGAGCTGATAAGAATCAATATAATTTTATTAACAAATACGTTAAAGTAGCTTCACTTACCAACGAGCACTTGCCCTCATCTGCTAAATGGGAATAATTAATGTTCACCACTGAGAAATACTGTGATAACTCCCTGAGATAATGGATGTAATACATGAATACAATGATTACCACAATTTAAGAATTCTAAACACTGCAGTCATACTTATGATGTTGATGCTGATCTGATTTGAGTGCTGGCTTGAACATTTACTCCTTGTGTAACACAGATGAAATTACTTAACTTTGGAATTTGAAATTACTTAACTCCTGTAAAAAGGCGAAATTACTTAACTCCTCTGTAAAAATGGAATACACATCCTAGTACTCATATAGTACTAATATAAGTTGTAACAGATGAGTAACACATTTGTAAATATGTTTGAATATTTATAACATATTCTAAATATATGATTGAAACATTGTTTTAAGAAAAATAGAAAAAAAGAAATTAAAAATGTTTAAATTTATGATTTGGATAAATGGCAGTATTTCTCAAAGACAACAAGTTTCCTTTAGAAATCCAGTCACAGCACTGAAGAGAGAGCTCAGCAGGTTGTTTTCACCAGATCAACCTGGACTTTGTCCCTCACACCTCACTAGGGGTGATCCTGAGCACAGAGATAGGAGTAAGCCTGAGCGCTGCTGGGTATAGCTCAATATTCCGGCCCAAACCCCACAACACACAAACACAAAGAAAGAAAAGTTTTTAAAAAACCAACGATGACTGTTTTCCATCAGAAATTTTAAGATGACCAAAGTACTATCCCCCAGAATGTAACAATGGAAAAACTGGTATGGTACACGGCTTTTTTCCAGTGAACTTTCAATTTGGACAGAAAATAGTAAGAATGATCTATATAAAAAAGAATGAAAACAGATTTTTCAAGTTTCCAACCTTCCCCTTTACCAAAACTGTTTAAATACAGCAGTGCTATATTGTTTGAGGCTAAGAGGTCAGATGCTCAGAATCAGAGCTGAAGGAAATATCAAATATTTTTTAAAAAAATATATGCATATAAAGTGACAGTCTGCATTTATTACATCACAACTGTTGTACTATACCTTAGATGAAGGTCTTCTGAAAACTTCAGACAGGCATAGATAAATTCTTTAATTTGGTTGTAAACTTTCGGCACAAACTCAGAGAAAGGAAACTTTTTGGGAAAAGGTTGCTATAAATTAAAAAAACATAATGAAAGAAAGTCATAAACTAAGACACTTTATAAATCAAAATGTCTCCCGAACAATCTCAAATTTAAAATATTTTCTCAAGAGCTGGAGAAACAGTATAGGGGTTAAGGCACTCGCACTGAACAAAGACGACCCTATTTCAACACAGTGCCCCTTATGCTCCCCAAGCTCAGCCAGGAGTCACCCCTGAAGCATCACGCTAGGACTAAGCCCTGAGCCAGGTACGATCCAACCTCTCCCCCCAACCCTGCCCCCAAAAGACACTATCTCCCAAAGTTTCCTGAAACTATGAAGAATAATATAAAATTAAGTAGTCATTCAACTATCCTTCAATAAGTGCAGAGACACATAAATTGAGAAACATGCTCGGTAATAAAACAAACTATTGATACATTCAACAACTTAGATGAATCTCAAAAGCACTGTACAGAGTGAAAGGGTCCAGTCTCAAATTATGACTTAATTGCTGTATGGTTCTATTTATAAGCATCATGGAAAAAGCAAAAGTACATTGACAGTAACTGCAGAATGGTGGTTGCAAAGGATAGGGTTTTAGAAAAGGAATTGATTAAAATGGCAGTAGGAGAAAATTTAGGGCAAAGACGGAATTTTTCCAGATAGATATACATAAATTTTCCATTTTTATTTAGGTATATAATATGTATATATATATTATATGTGTACTTTAATAACCAATAGAATAATGTAGTTACACAAGAAAACTGTCATAATATAAAACAAATTGAATACCCGTACCATTCTCTAAAAACATTACAATGTCGAAGGGTTCCAAAGCCATTTGCTGATTCCCAAAATTGAAACTACCATTCTTTAAAAGGCCAAACATTGTTTGCAGATGTTTCTGAGTTCTAGCCTTATGTGCTGGAGGTAATACTGTTAAGGATACAGTCATAATACAAGCTTTAGAGGATATCAAATCAAAAAGAAGTTTGTTTTAGTATTCCTCACCTTTTCTAGCTCTGTATCTTGAAATGGGAACTGTCCTACAATCTTTTTATACATCTCTTCACTTGTGACTGGTATAGGACTGTAGTTGTCAGAATCAAGTATGTTTCTATAGAGACAAATAGGAAGAAGGGGTGGGCAGCTCTGTTAATAATTACAGTAATTATTAATTACAAACACTTTTCATGTGAACTCCAATGGCTAGACATATACCACAACCCAACGTGAATATTTCCTAGTTTTTATTCTATTTCTTCTCTTACAAGCCATTCGGTACCGATAAGTCTTTTCTAAAAGAACAAAAATAAAAGTATTTTGAAACAAAACACAATTATAATCATAATCATAGTAGTGTATATTCATAAATAAATAAAAAGATAACACGCTAAAGCTTTGTGGAAAATAAAAGTAAACAAAAGAATGTGTGCTCTCAGAAGGCAAAGAAGTTTAATTGACTTTTTGTCTTTAAAGAATAGATTCTTTAATTCTGAATTACAACTTTTATTCTAACTTTCAAAATTGGAAGATAAAAAAAAAAATCTGAAGTACCATAATGCATCCAAAGTAGTCCCTTTACAATACCTGTTGTATATATATATATATTTATATCACTGTATTACTGTCATCTGGTTGATATGCATATGTACATATTCATTTATTTATTTATTTTATATTGTTGTAGGAGTGATAGAACAGGGTTAGAGCAATAGCACAGCGGGTAGGGCATTTGCCTTGCATGTGGCTGACCCGTCCAACCCAGGATCGATTCCTCCTCTCCTCTTGGAGAGCCTGGCAAGCTACCGACAGTATCTCACCCACACGGCAAAGCCTGGCAAGCTACCCGTGATGTATTCTATATGCCAAACACAATAACAAGTCTCACAATAGAGTACTTACTGGGTCCACTCAAGCAAATTGTCGAACAACGGGAGGACAGTGCTACAGTCTCTACAGTGCTACATATTGTTGTATATTTTTTTCTGACTCCTACTTTGAGGATTCTAAGAGCACAGGCAATACTCCCAATACTCCCAATATCAAAACAGAACTGGAGCTGACAAGATAGCTCAAAGGTCTGCAGCACATTCTCAGATGAAAGAACCGTAAGTTCTATGCCCAGCACAACATGGTCCTCTATGTGCTGAGAATCAAACCCAGGGCTTTAGTCATGCTTAGCATATGTTCTCTTTATGTGAGCCACATCCCTTACCCTGCGAAATCTTTTCCTTTTTATTTTTTTTCAATAATTTACATTTACATTTGTTTTTGGTATTATACATTCTACGGACTTAAAGATTTGACTTTAATGGTATCCACCATTATAATATCACACTAATTTCATTAATTCACACATCCTCTGTGGTCTTCCTGCTCATTACTTTCCTCCTCTGGCCTCTGGTCACCACTGAATTTGACTCTTAACACAATCTGACCTCCTCAATTATTCAAAAGAGTTCAAAACAAACTAGACGTCATGTTCACAGAGAAAAAAAATAAAGAATGAAAAGTTATCAGATGATCTGGATGCTATGAACCTGACATTTATTCAAAGAAACAAACTATAGTTACTAGTACTTTGAGGACAAATATTTTAGAAATATTTTTTAGGACATCCCTACCGTGCACTGAATTCTGAATCATAATATGATTTATGGTGGGGAAATCTAAGTCACATATACAGGCTGATTATTATAGCTAAGAGACTTTATGCATAAACAAATATATGCACAAACATGCACATTGACCCACATGCAAACACTGTAATTTCTCACCTGAAAATACCTGCCCATTTCTTTAGCAGAGTTTCACTATATTGATCTCTGATTTCTAACAGCATGTCAAAAAGCTGGTTTACAGGAAAACCGTATACCTGAAACAAAATTTAAGGTAGTTTCTAAGATCTTTGTAGCAACATAGGCAAAATTTGACATCAAAAGATGTCATTTTGTTCATTGGTCAACAATTTAAAACATTTGAGACATTCTTTCACTCCCATTTGGAATTTGGTGTTTATCTCTTAAGAATTAAAAGTTACAAATCAAAATATCTAGACCAGAATAAATTCTTTAAATGAAAAATACAATCAATATATACAAGGTATACTGTCAGCTAAACTCCCCCTACAACTTCTCTTTAAACACTTAGAAACCTTTGAGATATGGAAGAGTAACAGAAATAGTACCTACCACACTCATTTCTAAAGCTTATCTGTCCAATAAATTATTTTTTCAAATGAATTATCATTATTCAAAAGACATTAAGAAATTCCAAAATAGAAATAGTAGTACATGGGGGTGGGTGTGGCATAGGAACATATACTCTGAAGAGGTGTAAAACTGTACCCCTAAGATATTAACAGCCATAAAAACTAGTATTATCTCAATTTTTAAAATTATTTTGTTATATTATAAAAACTCCAATATCACACAGACAGCATATCTAAATTATTAAAATTTCAAAAATCTCTATTAGTAAGTGCTGAATTAATTAATTTGTTAAGGATAGGGAAAGGGGAGTAATTATGAGACACAAAAGATCAGGATGATAAGCAGAAAATGTTATAAAGAGATAAAAAACCATCTAGCTCTAGGAAATGAGTAAACATACATCAAAGGTACTCACTCAGGCTTTGGTAGGATAATGGGAAGACAGTTAAAGAATAAAACGTTAGGACTGACCAATAGTACAATAGGAGGGTGTTTGCCTTGTGCACATCCAACTCAGTTTCTCTACCTATACCTGGGATTCCATATCATCCTCAAAGTTCACCAGGTCTAATTCCTGAGAATACAGACAGGAGTAACCCCTGAGCACCACCAAGTATAGCCCCAAAACAAAAACAAACAAAAAAAGATGAAATACTAAACTAGGTGTATAAAACAGAATATACTTATACGTGACACAAACATATATGAACAAGTATATAAACAAAGTTTACAAACCTGAAGTGTGTCCGCAAAAAGCACAATGAGGTTCTTCAAATCTAATACGAGGTTTGGATCAGAGCAGTAAGACTGAAAGAAATAAAATATGAAGAAAAAATAATTACCAAAAAACGAAGCAAAATGACTTGCTTAATGCTTTTCTGGTAAAATCTCCCTAGAAAGGATCCAAAACTAGCCAGTTTTCGGTTAATGTCTAGGGAAGAACAAAGTAAAGATTCAAGTAAGTCAGACGCTACAATTTTAACAAACAGAAATCTATTTATTGCTATGATGTACAGGGGTCTTTTTCATGTTATATACTAGCTCTTCACTGATTATGTCATTTCTCACTGTGTGACTCTTTTTCCCCACTATCTTTTGTGGGGTCAGTTCTTGTAGTTTTAATATGTTTTAATATTTAATGTATAAATCTTTATTTCTGGTGCTATGTGTATTTTATTTAATATCTAGTTAGCTAGGTACTTGTTCCAAATGATGAGCATACCCTCAAGTATTATTTTCTAAAAGATTTAAGGTTTGGGCTGGAGAGATAGCACAGAGTGTCAGGTGTTTGCCATGCATGCAGTCAATCCAGCACTATATATGATCCATGAATGATTTGTATTTGCCAGAAACTTGTTTGCAGTTGTCTTCTATTTTATGTACTTGACTTCCCTTAAATATTTTCCGACTCTTCCTTGAATGAGGGGGCTTAGTGATCAATATATACAGCTGCCATGGTTCATCTGCCATTTTCGACCTGTTATCACTGTTATCACTGTCACCCTGTTGTTCGCTGATTTTCTCGAGCAGGCACCATTAACGTCTCTTTTGTCCTAGCCCTGAGATTTTAGAAAGTAACACATTCGAGGCTCTTTCAGGGTCAGGAGAATGAGACCCATCATCGTTACTGGTTTTTGGCATATTCAATACGCCATGGGGAGTTTGCCAGACTCTGCCATGCGGGCAGGATACTTTCGGTAGCAAGCCAGGTTCTCCAGAGTAAAAACTAGATAATAAGATTTTAGACTTATTTTCTAAGAAACATACCACAGGCTCTTTGTATAAACTGAGCCAGACTAATATAAGCAAAAGTAGTACTAAGAAACTAGTATTGGGGCTGGAGTGATAGCACAGCAGGTAGAACATTTGCCTTGCACACAGTTGACCCGGGTTCAATTCCCAGCATCCCACATGGTCCCCAGAGCACTGTGAGGAGTAATTCCTGAATGCATGAGCCAGGAGTAATCTCTGTGCATCACCGGGTCACTGTCATTGTCACTGTCCTCCCATTGTCCATCGATTTGCTCGAGCGGGCCCAGTAACATTGAGACTTGTTACTATGTTTGGCATATCGAATACATCATGGGTAGCTTGCCAGGCTTTGTCGTGCGGGCAAGATGCTCTCAGTAGCTTGCTGGGCTCTCTGAGAGGAGTGAAGGAATCAAACTCGGGTCGGACGTGTCGGCCACATGCAAGGCAAACGCCCTACCCACTGTGCTATCGCATTGCTGGGTGTGACCCAAAAAAGAAAAAAAAAACTAATATTATTTCTTCTTATAAATGCTAAGGCTAGTGAACGAAATTAGGTAAGTAGTTGGCTAGTCAAGGTTTTTGGAAGGGAGAACCCATTAGAATTTTTCCCTTATGCTTTTTCCTAGGTCTGTTCCAGCTCATTGTATTAGTTGGCTGTGAATTTTCAGAACTCCTAGATACTTTTTAGAAAAATATATCTTATTTGACAGTGTAATATTTTCTTTTCCCATGAACAGTCACTAATCTGAATTTGTGAAATTCAACGAAATTTTTAAAAACTTTTGGCTCTCAGGTGGTGCTTTGTAGAGCCTTTCTTTTCAATTAATTTTTTGACAGCTATTTTAATGAAAATTTGGTTAGAAGATATAGAACATATATGCCCATTATGCATTCGGACTCAAATAAACCAAAAATATGCATGTAGCAGCAGGAGGGACATGGATATGGGGTGTATAAATCCACTAACTTAGTACAACATGTTTGTTTACTTATCATATATTAAGAAAGAAATTCAATATTGACTATCTATTAAACATGAGTTTAAAAGGCCAAATAGTACCATACTGATCCATAATTTTGAATCTTTAATATTTTTTCAGTTTTGCAGGTGATGTTTCCCCCCTATTACTAACAATTCCAGTAGCAATTGTATTAGTAGATCTTTTACTACAAACTACTGGTATGAATATTTCTTGATTTTTCAACAATTTTTACTAGTTTGTGAAACTTGAATTCTGACTCAGATTAGGAAGTCATTGTTACATTTTGAAATAAGCACTGTGAATACTGTGCTTGTTAATATCTAAAAATATTTTTTAAGTTTCTAATTTATACAAAAACCAACAATTCAATCAAAAAGTAAAGAATAACATAAAATAATGCCTCAACAGTTAGAAAAATATACAGATTTTTTGATAAGTGACAATCTTTCTGAGACAGTGCTTGCTTTTCAGATTATTTTATTGTTTGAGTCGTTCTTATTTTGTTGTGCTTTCTGGGTAATATAACATAATATATAGAGTCGTGAAACAGAATTAGCATCTGCGGCATCAACCAGTCTGTCTCATAATGGATGAAATGGTTCAGTGAGTAAATGTGTGTGGTGCTAACTTATTTTTTAATAGCTTTGTTGAGATACAATTTCCATGCCATACAACTCACCCATCAAAAGTTTATAATTTAATGGTTTTTAGTTTTTTGTATATTTGTACATACATGTAAAGTACAATCACAGTCTATTTTAAAACATTTTCTTCACCTCAAAAAGAAATCAGTACCTTTAACCTATGACTTCTGTACTCTACATGCCTGCCTCTCAGCCCTACGAAATTACTAATGTACATTCTGCCTCTAGATTGATGCTGAATTACTGACAAGTGGTTCAGTACAAAAGAATATATGATAGACCTACAAAGTAAAACTTGCTTTCCATCAATCTGTCCCACAGAGATACACTGTAATCAGCATACTTGAAAAGTATCCTTCCTTCAATGATACTGAATATGACTGCTTAATGAAGAAGAAAGCATATTTTCCAATTGAAGGAATTCTACACATAGTCCTGGAGAAATATACTAGAAACCGCAATATGCGAGTTAGGTCTTTTAATAATCTTTGCACAATGACTCATTAATACTCCAAGGGTCAAATCTGATCAACCTATCAAAAACATGTAGCCTGTTGGTTGTTCTAATTTATCTTTATATTTTAATTGCATACATTATAAGAAATGATAAATCACAATCGCAGTTATTAGGCACGAAGGAACACTGCCCAGAAACATGTATGCTGGCATTATTCCATCCAACGTTTACTCCAGTGTATGACAATAGGCAGTTCTTAAGCCATAAGTAAATATAATCATGATAAATCTGTATAGGGTTGCACTGAATATTAAATAGAAATGAAATACACTTAATAATGCTTGACACATAGGAAGGAATCAATAGGGGTGATCTAGCTATCTTCTTGCAAAGAGTATTCACAAAAGTGGGCTCTGTGGTAAAGAAAATGGCCATTTCAAGTAGCTTCCATATGTCTGTAAGAAAAGAGTTGAAAGGGTGATTCCAAACAACACGGAGGTGATGGTTTAAAAGCAATGAGACACCGATTGTGCTTAGATAATCAGCTCTAAGAAAGAATTTCTGCTACATACCGAGTGGGTGCGGAGTGCTGCAATGGTTTTTGACAGCGCCATTTCCCACAGTTCATCAATGTAGGCTCTATTTACCAAGCCCTGGGTGGTATGTAATATGTGATCTTCCACCACAAAAAAGCTAAAATTGAGGAAAAAAGGAAAGTACAAGGTGTCAGAAATTACAATTGACTCTAATCTCTAGAATTTCACAAGCAAAAAGACCTGCCATGAATTTTTTTTAATTTATTTATTGAATCGCTGTGGGAAAAGTTACAAAACTTTCAGGTTTAGGTCTCGGTCATGCAAATATCAATCACATTTCCCTTTACCAATACTTATTTTTCACCACGAAGGACCCCAATAAACCCCCACCCCCCAATGCCTGTGGGGCAGATGAATTCTAGTTAACACTCTATCTACTTTGATTAGCTTCATTGTTTCGATAAAAGTTGCACCATTATTATTTAGACTTTACCGCCCCCCCCCCCCCCCCAAATCAGCCATGCTGAAAAAGCATTGTGAAATGATCTGCTTTCTACAGCTGGGTTCAAGAATTAAATGATGTTGCTATTGCGGCCTGGATTTCTGCTATTTTATTTATTAACCCTGGAAGTATTTCTACTGAGAGTCAGATAATTAAGAGATTGGTTTCTGTGCTTCTGAGGCCGTGGCCGTGCCGGAGAGCCACTTGTGGGGGGTAACTGGTGACCTTGGTAGGGCGTGAAGGACGGGCCGGAACGCCCCTCCCCCCCTTCCATGAAGTTTCAGTCGCGCCCCCACCCCCGGCTCAGACCTGCTCTCCACAAGGCTCCCATTCGGCCACCATCTTTCTTTCCAGAGAGGAGAGGGCGAATGGAGCAACACCCTTTCCCCTCCAGGCAGGCAAGATGCCATGAATTTTTAAGTTGCCACTTTGCCCCCCATAAAGAAAGCAGTTTGAGGAGCTGGAGTGGTAGCACAGCGGGTAGGGCGTTTGCTTGCACATGAAAGACCAGGGTTCGATTCCCAACATCCCATATGATCCCCCAAACACCGCCAGGAGTAATTCCTAAGTGCAGAGCCAGGAGCAATCCCTGTGCCTCATCAGGTGTCACCCAAAAAGAAAAAAAAAAGCAGTTTGATATCATAAATAAAAAGACTTCTTGGACTTAGAATTTTATTTCTTATCACAATATCTTCTCAAGCACTTCTGTTAAAAAAGAATGGGATTTCCTTCCAAGTCAGCTTTTAACTAGCAATCAAAAGCAGAGGTAACTGTTTCAAAATTTTGAAACATTTTAAAATATCAGAAACATAAACAAACAAACAAACAGTGTCCTATTGTTCTAGCTAGAGGGGGCCCAGTAATGTCTCCATTTTGAGACTTCCTGTTACTGTGTTTGGCATATCGAATTCATCACGGGTAGCTTGCCAGGCTTTGCCGTGCAGGGGAGATACTCTCGGTAGCTTGCTGGTTTCTCCAAGAGGGGCGGAGGAATCGAACATAGCTTGGCTGGGCTGGCTGTGCGCAAGGCAAACGCCCTATCGCTGTGCTATTGCTCCAGCCCTACAAGTATCTTACCCACAGGGCAAAGCCTTGCAAGCTCCCGGTGACATATTCAATATGCCAAACGCAGTAACAAGTCTCACAATGGAGACGTTAGTGGGCCCGCGCGAGCAAATCAATGAGCAACGGGAGGACAATCACAATCAATCACGGTGATCAGAAACATAACTTGAAAATATTTAAAAACACCAGGTCAGGAACTTAGGAGATGGCTCAAAGAGCTGGAATACATGTTGTGCATGAGGAAGCTCCAGGTACACATGGTCCTCAAGAAACATCAGGAGTAGCCCCAGAGCATCCAACAGTTTGGGGCCAAAATACCATAACCAAAATACAAATAACTAAAAATCATAACATGAGGCTATTAATATATTTTTAAATTAACAGAAGATGTACTAAAAATATATCTTCATCTAACTTGCTTAAATGTTTATACTATATTAAACAAATCTTAATACAGAAAAAATTTATTATATATCTTAATACAAAAACTATCAATTTTATTGAAACAATATGAATCTGAAGAAAGAAAAGTCAGGAGATAATGCAACTTGTTTCCTTTTCTTTCAGTTTCAAAGTCATCATTTTTCAATTCAAAAAAAGTAAAAAAAAAACTAGCTATATTTGGGATGTTTATTTGGCAACTGCAATTCCATTATTATATAAACAATAGATAGGGTGGCAAGCTATACAGGCAATGAAACTAATCTGGCCCATTGCCCTGCAGACGCATTTATACGCTGTCTATAGCTGCTGTCACACCATGATAGAGCTGGATAGAGTGGCAGACTCCCTATAACCTACTGAGCCTAATAGACTTTACTATTTGATTCTTTTAGAAAGAGTTTGCCAATTTTTGCTCATACTTAATTCCATCTTAATAAGAATTGAGAAATAAAACATCAAGTATAACAAAATCACAACTGAACAATTTTTTCAGCCACACATACAAAAAAATGAATAATAAAATATAATTCAATAATATAATACTGAAATCAAGAAGGGATTCCTCTGGAATCACCAAAAGATAAAAATCACACCTTTGGTATTTAAAAAAAAAAAGTAATTTTGTGAAGGAAACTACATTCTTCCAAGTCTTTTCAATCTATGTATGAAAATTGTAAATTTATGTGTATATACATATAAATATATACCTACCCTACAATTTGATTAAAATACTTTCTGTAGCCATCTAAAGTTTCATGCTGCAATAAAAAAGAAACAATGTCACCATTTGTTGTGATACATTAAGACAAAATTAAAATAATTTATATATAACTTCTCAGGGCTCAGTTTCCAAGACTATAAGGCTATGGGGCAAGTATGAGACAAGGCACACAAGGCAATCAACAGATGCTAGCTGCAATTTTCTTACTGCAAGACACCTCCAACTATAAGGGTGTCAGAATGACAAAACATGCAAAAGGGTAAAGGATACAGACCAAGTGGCCAGAGTGTGCCCTTGACCTGACAGGTACTGATTCAATCCATGGCACTGCCTGCTCTCCTCCAGCACCTCCAGAAGTGTCCCGAGGGCTCCTAGCACCTTGCATGTGGCCCCACAGAAATTATCAAGGGGTAGGGAAAAGCATATATGAAAAATATTTAAAAGACCCTAAGGAAGGAGAGTGAAAAAGGGAGAGAATTAGAGTTAATATCCTACCATGTTAGACGGAGGCTGTAGCACCAAACGAGCCTGTTTTCGCCTCTGCTTTCGGTAGTAGTTCTCAAATGTTTCCCGGGCACCCTGTGAAATAAATGAAAGGAAAAAGGTTGGCAAAATTGTGCCAAATACTCTAGTATTTCACGTAAAATGAAAAGCTGTAGTTGAGGAAGTCACACATTTCCTCAAAATCTGCCTTTTTAACCATAGTAATAATCACAGGAAAAAAAAATAACTATTACCATTAATTGAACCTTATTTACAAATCCCTTAGGAATGAACACAAAGAGGAAACAGCCAGAACTCAACCACCAACAAACATACTAAACCTGGTTTCTGAATCAATAATCACAAACTCACAAGAAAGAAGTCAAACCAATGTTCTCATAGGTTATAATAACAGTTGAAAAAAGTCACAGAACATTCCAGAAAAATGTCCAGAATAAAACTTAGTCTCAATAAATCAGAACAAAGGGGCAAAGAAAAGCAAGAAAAAGACACAAGCTTGGAACAATCAAACAGTCTTCTCAAATAGAACAAAATCTAGCGTAGGATTAATACCAAAAAAGAGTCAAGAGTATCAGAAGTCTTGGTGTTCCCACTCTTCACTTAGGATTTCGGGGCTTAGAGTAAAAGGTGTTCTAAGTCCATCAGTTGACTAATGAGCTCTGTAACTGATTGAACTGTGTCCTCTCAACATTTATGTCCTTCACAGGACCTCAGAAACTGATTTTATTTATCTTTTTAAAGAAAAGGGGTCACTGCAGACCTATCTAGTTCAATTAAATTCAATATAAAATAACATAATATGAGACTAACACCTTAGGACAGCAGAAATAATGGGCAGGATGACAGCTCCACAAATTGGAAGCCAGCCTCACATGTTGGGGAAAAGGCAGTTGGGATGAAGAAGGGAACACTAAGTAAATGATGGTTGGAGGGATCGACTGGGATGGCAGATGCATACTGAAAGTAGACTAAGGACCAAACATGATGGCCTCTTAGTATCTGTGTTGCAAACTGCAAGGCCCCAAAGTAGAGAGAGAATAAGATGGAATGTTCCAGCCGCAGAGGGAGGGGGTAGAATGGGGTGGGGTGGCACGTCGGGTGTGGGGGTGGTGGGACAGTGAATACTGGAGACATTGGTGGTGGAAAATATGTACTGGTGGAGGGATGGATATTCGAACATTGTATGAATGAAACTTAATCCTGAAAGTTTGTAACTATCTCACAGTGATGCAATAAAAGAAAAAAAGGTTTAAAAATAAAGTAAATAAATTCAAATTATGAAGGTGACCTTGAAGCAGTTATCCTTAAAACAAGAGGAGAGGCAGGAGAGATAACTCAAAGGGCTGAATGCCTGCACACATGAGAACCCAACACATGAACCCCCCACCAAGCATCACCAGGACCATATTCTGAACAAAGAGCTGCGAGTAACCCCTTAGCACTACTAGGTTTGGCTAGCACTACTAGCCAAACAAACAACAACAAAACAAAAGGAGAAAATGGTACTAGAGAATTGTGAGGAAGTGCCACGTGTGTCTAGAAGAGGCCATGGTCACTCAGCTGCAAGGTAAGGACAGAAATCCAAGCTGGCCACCTCCAGGGTCTAAGAAGAGGCATGGAAGGATGGATGGTCCCCACAGTCTTAGGGGAACAATAACCTTTTGTCACCTTTATTTTGGTCCTCTAGTGTCCAAAACTGTGACAGAATCCATTTGTGTTACTCTAATACACTCAGTAGTGGTATTTTGTTACAACAGCCCTAAGAAATTAATGTAAGCGCAAAATTTTTCAAACTCCATTCATCATCATTAATAAATTTTACTCTTAATCAAGAGTAGAATTTTCTACTTTCTAAACAGACAAGAGTAGAATAAGAGATAACACAACGCAGTGGTTAAAAGCTCTTATTTCAGAATCAGAAAACTATTCAAATCATGGCTGTGTATTTCACTAGTGGTATAACTCATATAATTTCTAATTTAACATGTTATTCCTTTAATTGAACTTCTACTGTTTAACTTTATTTAGTATATGTGTTATGGTTTTCATCTGTGGAGATGCCAACCTCCTATGTTCTAAAGGTTGTTAGAAAGTTATAATGCTTTTAGAACAGTGGCTGATTAATAACAATCACTATTTAAGTGCTTATTTTAAAAGAGTAAGAGAAGGCCAGATTGACAGAGTAGTGATAAAGCACTTGCCTTGCAAACAACTGACCTCCATTCAATTCCTGGCACTGCACATGGTCTCCATAGCACCACGAGGAGTCAGAAGTAAGCCCTGACCCTAATGGGTATTCTACCCACAGAAGAAGCAGGAAGAGCAAAGGAAGAAGAGGGGGGAGGAGAAGGAGGAGGAAGAGGAGGAGGAGGAGAAGGAGGAGGAGGAGGAGGAGGAGAAAGAGGATGAAGAGAAGGAGGAGGAGGAGGAGGAGGAGGCATGAGGAGAAGGAATGAGGAGAAATAAGGAGGAAGAGGAGAAAGAAGAGGAGGAGGAGGAAAAAAATAAAAAATAAAAATAAGAAATCGATGAGGAAAGATAAATCCTTGTTGATGTGAAAAAGTATGAACTTTATGCACAGTGTGATTCATTCTCCTCTACCCTCATTAAAGTCTGAAGTTTATTCAACATGACTTTCTTTATTAGGTCACTAGATTGGGAGAGCTGGTTTAGGATAATAAATATGCAATCTCAATAGTATAGATCAGTTATTGGTAAGTGTTTTCTGTACAGGGCAGGATAGTAAATATTTTTCAGCTTGGTGAGCCCTATAGTCTTTGCTATAAATAACTGTAACTCCACAAGCATGACACAAAAGCAGCCACATACAAAATCCATAATGAACGTGCCTTTGTTCCAAGCAAGCCTAATTTGGGAAAACTGAAATCAAAATTTCATGTACTCTTCACCTGTCATGAAATATTCTTCCTGTGAATTTTCAACTGACCCTTGAAAATGTAAAAGTCATTTCTAGTTAACCGGTCATACAGACACAGGCAGCAGACTAGATTTAGCCAATGGACCATGGTTTGCTGACCCCTGGTGCAGCTTAAAGACGAAGATTTTTAAATACAAAAGTAATTATCACTGTATAGGCCTGAAGTTTTTCTGCCTGTGAAATGATCAAACCTTAGGCCAGCCAGTTCAAGGCTTTCTTAATCCATAAGTTAATGAGGTAGCAAATGGTTCTATTTAAGGAATAAGAAGTGGAAACTGCCTGTTGGTTTGTTTAAGATATTCCCCACTTGTCACCATTTCACAACAAAGTGGTATTATTAAATGTCAATTACATTCTGTACACACTGAAGGGCTTTTCATTTTAAGTGAACAGTACCAAAGGCCCTTTATTATTCTAGTGTGACGTTACATATTCAACATGAGTTAGAGCCAAAATACACTTAGCTGGAAATTTAGGAAAAGACTTCTCCCTAATTAGACCACAATATACTAATTAAAGTATTTGTTGTAAATGGTAGAAAATACACAAACTGAAAATGAATATAAAAACCGAATCAAAAACTTTTCCTTAATTCTAAAGTAGATACAAATTTTTCCTTCACCTATTCATGGAGAGAACAAAAACAGAAGTAAAGACCAATTTATCTAATAGGTCTGGCTTCCTCATTTACAAAATGAGTTAGGTTTTCCCTAGTGGCTGCTAAATAAATTCACTTTTGATTATTCTATTTCCTCTGCCAATTTTTTCAACTTAATGCTTACAGGTAGAACTTGAGAAGTAAATGTCTGAGCAGTCAGCAGTCCAACTGAGTAACTGATGAAGTGCCTCTCTTATTCATAAATCGGTTAATGAACTACAGAGATTTGCCACTTCAGGTTCAAAATTCTTTAATGATTCTTTTTTTAAATTAAAAAAGTGCTATTCAAAATATACGGAAATAAATTATAAAACAAAGAGCTGGAAAAATTTTGCTGCACATTTTGTATTATAAAACAATGTTCTATAGGTTTTAGAACAATTAAATGACCATATCAGAGAAAAACAAGTCACTTCCATTATTATGGACTCTCGGAATGGTCCCTATTTTCAAAGAATTTATAGTCTACTGTACCAGCAATTAAACATTCAATTGTATTAAAAATAAACTATGGAATCCTGTGGATTGGACTGGTGTGTGTGTGCGTGTGTGTATGTGTCTGTGTGTGTGTGTTTCATGGGTAAGAAAAATGTCAAAGAAAGCTTTCCAGAAAAAAAAAATGACATTTATACTAAAATTTGAAGAATGAGTCAGAAGGAAAAAAACCAGGTGAAGAGAAGTGGGGGAACTGTTCCTTGTAAAAATACAGAAGTTCAAAGGAAAAAGGGCATCACACATCCTATGAATTGAAAAAGTTCTTCATAGCTAAAATTTTAAGAGATAAAGGAGAGGGATGACAAGAAATGAGACTAATGGGCTTTATCAATTATGTTAAGATATTTAAACTTCAACTCAATAGACAGACATTTCTGGGAAAAGTTACTTTAAAAAATCTTTTACTTCTAGCTGTGTTTGGTTTCTCTCTCTTTAAAGTGTCATTAATTACAAAAGTAACACATGCAGTTTTTAAAAAAAGGAAACAGTAGTCATAAAGCAAAGAGAAAAACAAAAGTCATTAGTAATCAATCATAGATCATCACTGTTTACTTTTTCGAGTGTGTTTATGTTTTTGCATGTGTATTTCCTTACACCTTACTATACTAAATACAAGTATTTATATATATCTATACCTATGAATTTTACATACATAAATATGATCATATTGTATATGCTCCTTTCACCGAACTTTATAGTAAAACACCTTTTCTCCGATATACTAATTTAATATAATCACATTTATTTATTTATTTATTTTTGGCGGGGGAATGGGGGCATGCTCTCCAGTGGTACTAAGGAGGCCCAGGGGCCCATCCAGCCAACTGTTGGCCAACCAGACCAGGAGTTCAATGGGAGGACAGGAGGATGTGATGCTACTAAAGCAGTGAGTACTTCAGGGCCATGCCTGGCAATGCCCAGAAGGCTGTGCCATGCCAGAGACTAGGCCAGTGTTGGCCATATGCAGAGTGTGAGCCTTAATCC